AGAACTGGCCAAAATTCTTTACTTAAACATAAATTTATCTTGTGACCAGCACACTAGTGGGCCAAGAGAAAGACAATACAATCCTTCTGAAATAACTCCACAGAGGCCGTTATCCCATCGCCAAGTCGGCCTTTATTTACACATACATATTTCATGACGCTGGTCTGGTTTCCTCAGACCAGTTCTCAGAGCGAACAGAACCTCTGACAATCTTGTTTTTATCTGTCAGTCAGGGCCCCCTGATTGGGTCAGGTTAACAGCCCTCATCAGGAAACTCATATTCTGAGATCCGCACAGCTGACTTTGTTACAATTACTACATCTTTCATAATTGACAGTAATACAGTGAAGCAGTAATTACATTTCAAAAGTATTTAATTGGCTCTAAGGCCGTTTGAGACATCTGGTGATCATGCAAGATGTCCCATAAATACTAGTCTTCCACTGTTTCTCCAAAGTAATTAGCATTTACATTGCTGTACAATTTGGCTCAGTGCCTAACACACTTCGGTTGGAATCAGAAGGTTCATGCTTTGAGCCTCTCTCTAAAGACTTGAATATAGAATAATACCACAGGAGGAACTTACAACTTAGGAGCAAGAGAAGGCTGCTCAGCCTTTTGTGTCTGCTCCAATATTCAGTAAAATCATAGGTGATCTGGCTGTGATCACAACAATTCTTTCTTGACTACCTCCTTAAAAGTTGATTCACTTGTATATCCAAAATCTATTTAACTCAGCCTTGAATAATTTCTATATCCCAGCCTTGTGTGCTTTGTTGGGAAAAGAATTTCAAGCACTAACAAATAAGTTTTACTAATCTCTATTTGAAAAATAAAACTTCATTCTTAAAATTGAGTCTTCTAGTTCTATTCTCTCTTATATGGGGAAACATCCTACTGGTATCCATCCTATATCTCCCCCTCAGCATGTTACACACTTCAGTAAGTTCTATACTACCAACCAATTCTTAAACATTGCTAAATGGAAACATTGTCTTGCACTAATCAGAATGAGGATGCAAGAAACCAGATTTGGAAATGGAACACCAACATGCAAAGAGAGTTCTAATTGGTTCTGCTATCATTGACATGAAGATGAAACTCAAAATATTAACTGCCATTCTTTCTTCTATAGATTTAACTTGTGACCCATGACTACAGTGCATCGATTTGAGATTTCTTTAGATCATAGAATCCCTACAGTGTGGAAACAGACCATTTAGCTGAACAAGTCCACACTGCACCTCTGAAGAGCATCCTGCCCAGAACCATTCCCTACAACCTGGCATTTTCTATGTCCAATCCAACTAACTTACACTGGACACTAAAGGCAATTTAGCACAGCCAATCCACCTAACCTGCATATCTTTGGACTGGGAGAGGAAACCCACACAGACACAGGAAGAACATACAAACAATCACCAGAGGGTGGAATTGAACCTGGGTCCCTGCCAGTGTGAGGCTGCAGTGCTAACCACTGAGCCACCATGCTGCTCTTCAGGAGGTTGAATCCTTACACAAATCTGTAGAACACATCTATTTGAATTCTTGGAAATGTACCTTAAGACTTCTTCTGCACATTATTGAACATTTGAACAAGAATGTACAAAAACACAGACAAGATATGTGAGGGAAATTGACCTTTTGTGAATTTCAAACAGCAGTTTTACTCTGGCAATTCTGAAACATCAACAGTATGATTCTCTGAAGTTCAGGCAGGATGCCAAGGACCAAATTTTCATTCCAGAACAAAGATAAAGGCATCAGGGAGACTAGAAAATTGAAAGCTAATTCAAGCAGAAGAACTTCCTAGATTTGCCATAAATTTGAAACAAATAGGTATCGGAAAAATAACAAGACTGAAGAGAAAAACATTTTAATGAGCTGCACTTTCACCTCAGAATATCAAAAGAAATTAGTGAAGATATTGCATATCACATTCTTGCAAAACTTGCTTCAGGGATTGTCCCTTCAAAATGGAAACTTTAGTGTCACTTAAATTAATGAGCTGGTCACAAGATCTGAAAATCATTAACCTAGTATCTCATCATCTTTTGTGAAATTGAAATTGGAAGAGTCTTGAATTCCATATTTGAAAAAAACATATTAATGCATTATGGGCAGTTTGCAAAAGGTCCCCAACACGGGGGCTCAGTGGTTAGCACTGCTGCCTCACAGCGCCAGGGACCTGGGTTTGATTCCACCCTTGGGCGACTGTCCGTGTAGAGTTTGCACATTCTCCCGCTGTCTGCATGGGTTTCCTCCAGGTGCTCCAGTTTCCTCCCACAATCCCAAGATGTAGGCTAGGTAGATTGGCCAAGCTAAATTGCCCGTAGTGTTCAGGGATGTGTAGATTAGGAGGGGATGGGTCTGGGTGGGATGCTCTGAGTGTCAGTGTGGACTTGTTGGGCCAAAGGGCCTGTTTCCACACTATAGGGATGATATGATTCTCATAATAAGGAGTTTATCCGCTGAGGAGATACTTGACAATTTTGGTCTGTTTCCATTGGAGACGAGAAAGAGAGGCAATCTTACCAAAAAATACAAAATCCTGAGAGGACTTGACATAGTGAATACTGAAAGGATGATTAATCTTAAAAGAAAGATTAAAATAAGACAACACATTGTAAAATATAAGTGGTCCCTCATTCAAGATGAAGCTGAGGATATTTTCCTTTTCTGAGGGTTGAGAGTCTGTGGATATTTCCCCAGAGTAAAGTGGAGGTCATTAAATATTTTTAACCTCCTCATAGGCAGGTATTCATTATCGATAGGAAAGTGAATTTGAAGTCACAATCAAATCAGCTGAACTCTAAATGAATGGCAGACTAGTCCTGAGCAACCTTACTCCTTACAGGCTTACTCTTGTTCCTAGTGCATATGTTAACAGTCACAAATGACTGATTGACTGAGCACTTGGATGGAGTACGGATTAATAAAGACTAGCATGTAGTAAACTAACATAGGCAATCTTTTCTACACCATTTAATAATGAAACAGGACTAAATGGGGCAGGCTTCACGATACAGTTATAGGCTACATCTGGAGTACTGTTCCCAGTTCTCAGTGGGGTGGCTTGGTGGCTCAGCGGTTAGCACTGCTGCTTCACAGCGCCAGGGACCCAGATTTGATTCTGCCCTCGGGCGGCTGTCTGTGTGGAGTTTGCACATTTTCCCCATGTCTGCGTGGGTTTCCTCTGGGTGCTTCAGTTTTCTCCCACAGGCGAAAGATGTACAGTTTAGGTGGATTGACCATACTAAATTGCCCCTGGTCTGCAGGTTAGGTGGATTAATGGGAAATGTAGGGTTTCAAGCACAGGGATAGGGTAGGTGGGGTTGAGTCTGGGTGGGATGTTCTTCAGAGAGTCAGTGTGGACTTGATAGAGCAAATGGCCTGCTTCCACACTGTAGGGATTCTATGATTCTGGCATGCATTTTACATCATGAAGGATTTTCTGGGTTTGAAGAGGTTTCCATAAAGATTCGTGGGAATAATTGCAAGGACAATTTGCATAGACAAAACTTACAGTTCCTTGAAAACTGTTAAGATATAACGTAAGCATTTTGGATGTAAGGAATTTGATAGGGAAGCATGTTTTTCTCTGGTGATGAGAATCTAAAACAAAGGGAACATAATCTTAAAGCCTTTGATAGAGCCAAGATATTCTGGAAATAGTTTGGAACAAAGGAACCTTTGAATAAAAACTTGGGGCTCTGTCCAAAAGAAGCAGGTGAGGCTCCGGGACAATAAAAATGTCACAACCAACTGATAGAATGTAGAACATAGGACAGTACAGCACAGGAATGGGCCCTTCAGCTCACGATGTTGTGCCCAACATGATGCCAAATTAAACTAGTCTCTTTTGCCTGCACTCGGCTCACATCCCTCCATTCCTTGATTTTCATGTGCTTATCTAAAAGCCACTTAAACACCCCTATCGTATCTGTCTCCACCACCACCCTTGGCAGCGTGTCCTGACACCTATCACTCTTTGTAAAAAAATCTTGCCCCTCACATCTCCTTTGAACTTTCCCCCTCTCACCTTAAATGCATGCCACCTCGTATTAGACATTTCAACCCTTTAAAAAAGATTCTGACTGTGAACTCTATCTATGCATCTCATAATTTTATAGACTTCCATCAAGTCTACCCTCAGCCTCTAGTTTTCTAGAACCCTAGTTTTTCTAGAACAAAAACAAAAGGTGCTGGAAAAGCTCAGCAGGTCTAGCAGCATCTGTGAAGGAGAAAACAGAGTTAACGTGTCGGGTCCAGTGACCCTTCCCCAGAACTGATGGTGGCTGGGAAAACATCAGTTTATATGCAGAAAATAGGGAGGTGGGTGGGGTAGGAGTAAACGATAGGATAGAGCACAAAGTGAGAGAAAGACAGTTGGACAGACAAAGGAGTTGCTATCGTTAGGAAGGGTCACCGGACCCGAAACGTTAACTGTTTTCTCCTTCACAGATGCTGCCAGACCTGCTGAGCTTTTCCAGCAACTTTGTTTTTGTTCCTAGTTTTTCTAGCCTCTCCTTATATTTTATACCCTGTAATCCACGTAGGATCCTGATAAACCTCTTCTGCACCCTCTCCAAAGTCTCCACATCCTTCCTGTAATGTGGCATCCAGAACTGAAGGCAATACTCTAAGTGTGGCCTAACCAAAACATTACAAAGCTACAACATGACATCTTGACTAAAAACCAAAAGAACTGCGGATGCTGTAAATCAGGAACAAAAACAAAGTTGCTTGAAAAGCTCAGCAGGTCTGGCAGCATCTGTGAAGGAGAAAACAGAGTTAACGTTTCGAGTCCGGTGACCCTTCCTCAGAACTGACATCTTGACTGTTGTACTCAAGAGTGATGTTTGATATGGAGTGAAGGTACATAATCCCACAATCTATTTGGAAGGGGAGGAAGACTCAAAAAAGGTCAAGACCCGTTTTTCAAAACACACGAAACTAAAAGAAAGGAAAGGGACAATAATATTCAATACACATGTGGATAACTGAAGCCGATTCTCAATTTTATTAAATCAGAAGATTTGCTTACAAAGGAGACACGGTACAAAAGGTGAATTTTAGGCATCAGAATAAAAGCACCAAGTGATCTGGCTCTTCTTCCACTCCCAATCTGGGGAGAGAGGAGGTAACACACTGGAAGTGGATTAGGCTGCATGAAAGGCAGAGGCATGGATAAACTAAATTGTTATATTGGACTGCTATTCACTAAACTATAGGTAGTGCACACACCTTGGCTGGAGAAAGTGGAATAGGAGGGTGGAAGACAGAGGACACACACATAGACTCTCAATATCCACCCTAAATATTTCAGCCAGGACAGAAGTTGAGAGCTCTGCAATTGGCCAAATTGACTCATTGTCATTAAGGTTTGGGGAACAATAGATGGATCCAGGGTTCCCACTCAAACTTGCAGGAAAGACCAAGTATGTGTTCCTTGCAAAACCGCCAGGCAATCAATAGGCAGGGGCTTTGGCCTGACTGCCCAAGCAATTGGCCACTCAAGGCTGCGGCGCGAAAGTGAAACTCCCGCCTTGACACATAACATAGCACAAGACCTGTATGACTGTCGCTGCAAATATTTTTCTCTCAAAAAAAAAGGGCTCCATTTATACTGCACACAGTTAAATTTCTCAGCACGAGAAAAACCTTCAGTATCAGTATTTAAAAGCGAAGTGAAGAATGTTTTCAATTACATGTTGTCCAGATTATGGTTTTGTGTATCTTACAACACAGAGACATGCGCTGTCTGTCCGAATTAATCTCATCAAAATGAACTTTCCTCGGATTTTAATTACTTTGTCGGCAGTGACACTTAAAACAAAAACAAAAGCAGAACTCCCTGTTTGTTTTAAGGACCCTAAAGGAGCAAGGCAACTGGAAGTATGCTTCTGTAATATCATTTTTTGAACTCTAGACGGTGCTGTTGCGCAAGACAAAAACGCTAGAACACCAAGGGTCAGAGGCAAGCGGCAGTGGACAGCATTTTTTCAAAAAATCCTTTTTAACCCCAGATTGAAGCCCTCTTTGCGCGCGGGATAATAGGAGTACGTTTTCAAATTGGCCACCGAGTGTAAAACCGGCATTGTGTGTTCCTGGAACTACCCCATTATTCCATTCAAACCAGTTTGCATGGCCAAGCACCCGCTTGAAGTTAAATACTCAATAGGGGCAAAAATTTGCAATGCAGTCCGAAGAACTAATTGCCTCTTTCTACTGGACCAGCATTTCAAAGCGCAAATCTCTCTCACCTCTCATCTGCCTATAGATGCAGATGGATCAAGGTATCTTTAGCACTGGATCTACCCTGGTTAAAACAAATCAGTGTTCAAATAGTGAGGTGGACACAGATACTCAACTGATCAGCAAAGATACTCCCTATAGGAACTAAGCAGAACGAGGATCCTTCTCTCAGCTCTGGTTTTGAGAAAATCTTTTAAAAATTCCAAAGGCACAAATTGACGTAAGGTGACATTCCCGAGTTATGTGCTTTTTAAAAACGTTGTTCAAACAGAAAATCAATGATTTTAGCCAACTAGTGAACGATTAATACTTTTTTTTAAATGAAGGCTGCCGTGTTTCTCAATAATTTTCTAGAACAGTAGAGGACAATATTAACTGTGAACTACTGCGCATTTAGTTTCGACGCTGGATTAAGTCACAGTGGGTTTGACCACAGCTGGGTTTGGGATGACTCCGAGTTTGAGGAATTTGACATTTTGCCTCTTCCTCCTCGCATGTTTATTCCAGATTTCGCCCAACCAGTTGCAGGCTAGAAAATGAATAACAAAACTGAAAAAAAAAGGCAGACTTGATGGAGCCCTAGTTACTTTGTTCTGGAAGAACCAAACAGTTGAGAGAAAACTGGGATGAGAGGGAAGGAGGTGGAATATAAAAGATGGAAGTCTGATCTAGGGTGTGTTGCACAGGATTAGAGACAGACACCTACTGAAAGCAAAGATTCGTCGGAAATCAAAAAATCCTGGAAAAGCACACACGGAGGGAATCCAAACGTGAAAGGAAGGCAGGGTTTCAGGAATTGTTCTGAGAGGGTGACTAGCCCCTATATGAGGCACTGGGTTGGACCTGGAGACAAAAAAAAATCTTGCTCCTCAAATTAGAGCTACATTAATACCGATGTTTCACCCCTAGGTGTCGTAGGTAAACCCACCATCATGAAACAGCAGCTTTGTTCCGCAGGTCGAGTCCTGTCTACATTGAAGATGAGCTCTCGGTCTCTAGCCCCATAGAAGAAGCCCACCTCACTTCTCGGATTGGGTTGAGGCAGTTTTGTTCCCGATCCAAAAAAATCCAGTACATCCCTCGCATATCCGTCAAATCAGAGTTGTTTCTATTGTATGCCACCATAGAATTAAGGCAGGTGTGGATTAAATACCACTCCCCTTCTTCCACAACTCCCCCTCCCTCACACCCTCCCAAGTTGACTCTAATACTCAAACTTCTTATTGATTAAAATGGAACAGGAGCTCAGGGATGCTCCCAGTTTAGCCACTTCTGTGCAGGAGGCAGGGATCAATGTGTATTCTGAAAGCTTTTTGAAGGCCTGGAAATAAAGGTGGGAAAAAATATCCTTATTATCAAAAACAGAAATGTCATGTGAGCACTTCAGCCGTCAGCAAGAGAAACCACCCCCCCCCCCCCCCCCCCCACCCCCCGCCATAACTAACTCCTTTTGGCAACTTACATTCTTAAAACATATTTTATAGTACTCAGAACGTCCAAAGGATACCCAACAGAAGCAGTGTGTAAAATTAGACAGAGCTCGAACTCAGTATGTGTGTAATGTCATTATTTACTTCCCATCCCCAATTCCGCTCAGAAAAGATGGTGATGAGCCACATTTTTGAACACCCAAAGTACTGACAGGGTGGGAGTTCTTGAATTTTGACTCAGTGACAATAGTGATATAGGTCCATGTCTGAACAGTGTGTGGCTTGGAGGACAACTTGCAGGTACTTGGTGTATTCCCACACTAGACACTTCTAGGTAAGGAGACGTCAAAATGTGGCAAGAGATACAGGCTTTAAAAATGTTGGACAATGAAATGAAAGAAGGGAGGGAATCTCAACTCAGTGCCTCTGCTGTTGAAGGACGGCCAACAGTGGACAGTAGAAAATTAGACGTGAAGAAGCCAGAATTGGTGGAGCACAGAGATTGCGGAGGGTAATAGGGCTGGAGGATTTTAAAATGAAAGAGAAGCAAGAGCAGGTAAAAAAAAAAAATCCAAGCCAGGGATGAGAACTTAAAAAAATGGAAGTGATGCTGGACAAGGAGCTAAAATAGGTTAGAGGCCCAGGAATGATGGGTGATCAGGAGTTGGTCAGAGTTACATTCCAAGCACCAGTGATTTTGTGGTTCCTTCCTCACAAGAACCTGTAGCTGAAAATAGAAGGACAACCCATTCAGTCCATTCAATAACTGTTTCAATGAGGCAGCCTTTAAATTTGTTCTGATGATGCTGCACTAATGGCTCTGCCTGGAGGGGAAGGGAATCCCATCTTACAATGTCCAACAGTCAGATCAGTAAAGCATGGAGACCTGATGAGTGAAAGAACTCCCCAACCATTTGCCACACAAGGTAATTACAGCAAAGCAGAAGACAGCCATCAGCAGAGAAATGAGAGATGCAAGGTAGACAAACAGGAGGCTGGAAGAACACAGCAGGCCAGGCAGCATCTGGAGGAAAGGAGCAGTCAACACTTCAGATATTAACAAGAGATGCAGCTCCCTAATCAGCAACATGGAGCTAAAAGACATTTCTGGCATGTGATCCTCACCCAGACTGACCAAACACACAGGCTCCTGAGGGCAGTCAGAAAATTGTAGGCTCAAGTCTCACTCTTGAGACCTGTGCACCAAAAATAAACAAACATTCATAAAATCATGAGGGGCATGGATAGGATGAATAGCCAAGGTCTTTTTCCCCGAAGAGCAAGGGAATCCAAAATTAGAGGGCATAGGTTAAGGTGAGAGGGGAAAGATTTAAAAGGATACTAAGAGGCAACATTTTCACACAGAGGGTGATGCATGTATGGAATGAGGAAGTGGTGACGGCTGGTACAACTGCAACATTTAAAATGCATTTGGATGGGTATATGAATAAGGGATTAGAGGGATACGGGCCAAATGGGACCAAATTAAGTTAGGATATCTGGTTAGCATGGACGAGTTGGACCAAAGGGTCTGTTTCTGTGCTGCGCAACTTTATGACTGTACAGCCAGCGCCATTGGGAAGGAGTGCTTTACTGTCAGAGGCACTGCCTTTTGGAAGAGGCATTACAGAGAGGCCTCATCTGCTGTCTCAGCAGGATGGGATAAAGAAAACTCTCAGCACTATTTTGAAGAGCAGGAAGTTCTCCCTAGCGCCCTAGATTTTCCCTCAATCAACATTGCTAAAAATATTAAACATGGATCCAGCCACTTACTGTTGGTGGAACCCTACTGTACATAATAACTAGGAGACTGTAAGGACTGCAGATGCTGGAAGCCAGAGTCAATAAACATGGCGCTGGGCAAAAACAGCAGGTCAGACAGCATCAGAGGAGCAGGAAAGTCAACTGCTGTCTGACCTGCTGTATTTGTCCTACTGTCCATAAATTGGCTGCCACTTTTCCTGATAGTCCAAAAGCATAATGCACTGTAAAATACTGAGCCTCAAAGCACTTCCTTATTTAAACTTCAAAAAATATGTGGTAGCACTGAAGACCATTCAATTCATTCCATCTGTGCTAGCGCTTTGCAAGAACCCCACTCAATTTAATCTCTCATGCCAGCTTTCTCATGCAACTGCCCCCTCCATGCTTCTCCACCCCCAACCATATGGTTCAGCCATCTTCAAATATTTATATCCAATTATATTTTGGGGTGGTACAGTGACTCAGCGGTTAGCAGTGCTGCCTCACAGTGCCAGGCAGACCTTTTTCTGTGCTGTAGATCCCTATGACTCTAACAATCAAGTTCAAGGGCAAACCAAGTCATCCTGCATCCTGAAGGACCACCCCAAGAAGAAAGGGACAGCTCTCCGAAGAAATTTCTGCCGGTTACCCATCTCATCCATTGTGTGAATTATTTAAAATTAATAAACTCTGATTGGCGACTCGTCCTTACTTGGACAATGAGAAACCCTCAACTTTGAGTACCTCTTATCACGTCTTCCCCCCAACCTTTTTGGATTCTTACCTTTGGCTTGTTTCTGTTCCAAAAAAAGATTAACTTTTAAGTTATTTTGGCCAGGGTTAATACTGCTGCACAAGTAAACCCAGGGATATTCAAATCGATGGCGCTGAGAGATTTTTCTACTGCTTGTTTGGCTCTGCTCTCCAGACAAAGACTTCTTTAAAAAGTATCAAAGCTGCCAGCATCTTTTCCACATAAACCCCCCTCCCTATTCACCACTGCTCATTCTACAGAATGATCGAGCCAAGTTCAAAATGACAGCCAACTTGCTTTCATGTGTTTAAAAACAAAACCAAGCCCACTGTAGATCGATCCAACTGCCAAAATTGGGTGGTGGGGGAAGCAAAAAGACTTAAAAATCCGATCACATACTCCAAGGCTCAAGAACAAACCAAGACTGCTCAGTCCATTCACACATCAACAAAAAAAGGCATCTATTGAGTACATGAATAGGGAGGGTTTAGAGGGATATGGGCCAAATGCTGACAAATTGGACTAGATCAGTTTAGGATTTCTGGTTGGCATGGGTGAGTTGGACCGAAGGGTTTGTTTCTGTGCCGTATGACTCTGAAAACAAAATTGTCACCGGGGGCAGTTAGATTGGGCCCCGTCTCCTTAGCGATGGTACTCAGCAGCAGGGCAATGATCCCAAGGGCCTGGCAGTAATGGCAGAACACGCTCTGTCTACATCTAGGCAATTCTCACATCTATAATTTGTTCGTACAACTGTCATCCAGCAATTAAAAGTGCTCTCCTGGGCCCCTTTTTAAAAAAAAATAGCAGCTGTTTCATTTACCTGTCTGGTGTTAGAATGTGCATCAAGACATGAGCTGGCTCTGGGCACCTTCACTATACAGGAGTTAAGGTGAGAAGTGAAAAAGGAGACTCTTGGTGCAGAGTATACTCAATAAATCCAATATTGTAACAAATTTTACAAGGCAGGAAGGAGCAAAAGCACTGAAATAACTTATAGGGGTGGGTGGGGTGAAGGTTTAATGAGTCAGATACAATCAATCCTTTCACCCCATGGCCTCTTCAGAAAGAGTTGAATGCAAAGTACAGCCAGAGAAAGAGAAGAAAACACAGAGGAAAGAAAGGTAGAGCAAGCCAGAGAGACAGTGTGAAAGGGACAGAGAGGAGGAGAGAAAAAAAGAGGAACTTCGAGAGAGAGAGGAACACACACACAAATTGCTGGGGGAGGAAGAGAAAGAGAAAGGAACACACACACATAAACAAAAGGTGGGTGAGGGGTGGGACAGAGAGAGAGAGAGAAACGCAGACAGACAGCACACACCAGGGACAGAGAAAGGGAGAGAGGAGAGAAAGTGATACCCAAAGAGAGAGAGAGAGAGAGAGAGAGAGAGAACTGGAGAAAGAAGAACCTGGGTGTCGTCACATAGGAAAACAATGGGAAAGTCGTAATATTGGGAAATGAACATACTGGAGCTCCATTTTGAAGTATAGGAGACGAGTACGACCAGTGTATCTCATTTGCCAGTTTTGTTGGTTTTTGCAGACAGAGCGGAAGACAGACAGAAACACAGAGACAGAGGGGTGCAGGATTAGAGGGAGGGGGAGGGGGATGGGATGGGGGAAGTGAAAAAAAGAAAGACAAAGAGCGAGCGAGAGAGAGAGAGAGACAGCTGACGTGTCTGCACCATGTTTTCGCACAGCTTTCAAACATCTGTGAAGTATTAACCCAATGTACAGACACGTTGCAGCTGTGGTGCTAATTGAACACTGCCTCGGTCGCAGAACACAGTGAAATTCTTTTTCAGTGTAAATTAACAGCTTTTCAGAATATGCACAGCCTGTCCCTCATGTTACCAGGCCCAGGAGAATAGTGGCTACAGCTCTTTAAGGTAAACTTGAAGCAGAGGCATTGTTAGAAAATGTTAAATTGGGGGGCTACAATTACCGTCTTTTCCTCCCTAAATAGCACCCCCCCCAACTTCTCTTTCTTTGCAATACTGCTCTCCAACCAGCAGGGGCTGACGTTGGACTCAGGAGCTGGTGTAAACTATGAACAATTTAAAGAGGAATGCACACCACACAGTGTTACTGCTCACCCACCCTGGCTTAAAGGGGAATACACACTAGTAGCTGACCTAGTTTAAAAGGGACTCCCAATGGCGGCGGTAGAACTGAAAACTGCTTATCTCCAACCATTTAAACGTTTTAGAGATTTTCACACTGAAGGAACAGTCGTATCCCCTCCTGCCAGAACACCCCTCCCCCACCAAAGACAGAGCCCCAGTGGAGCCGAGTTCATAGCTCTGGGCACTGACCCAAGAAAACAGGACACGCAAAATTAAAGACCTTGGAACTTTCCGGAAACTCATCCACTGTCCGATGGACCAGGACGTTGCATTTGTTGCCAACACGTGCATAGATGCAATTGGCCGCAGCATCATCTGGTACACTCAGTTTGTCGTACTGATAGTCCGTTAGCTGCTCCATCGCCTGAGGGCAGAAAGAGGAAAACAGTGAGGAAACGGTACACATTGTGGAAACCACAGGCCTGTGTCAGTAACCACTCATCTCACATGGACTACCGTGACAGCGACTGAGTCAACATCTTCCACACACACGCAGATACAAAGCGATTCGACCACACTGCGCCCATTCCACACTTGACCAGAGTATTGGGTCATGCAGAGGGAGCTTTGCTCTGCATCAGTACCAGGGAGTATTTGACAGGGACGCAGTAAAGTTCTCTCTACTCTTTTAAACTGAAAGTTCACTGTCCCCATCAAACATTCCCAGGACAGGGATAGCAGGAGTTAGCTACCGAGTAAAACTCCTGCGCTGTCCCCATCAAACATTCCCGGACAGGGACAGCACAGGGTTAGATACAGACTAAAGCTCCCTCTGCACTGTTCGATCAAACACTTCCAGCACAGATACAGCATGGATTTGATATCGAGTAAAATTTCCTCTACACAAAATTAAGCTGCTTCCACACTATCCCCATCAAACACTCCCAGGACAGGTACAATGCAGAATGAAGCTTCTCTCCACAGTGTCACAAACACTGGCTGGTGTTGGTACAGCTGTCTCAGGAACTGCAGCTTCCAGCTCACTGGAAGAACCAATAGAGCTTGTGCCATGAGGAAAAATGTTTTAATGCAGTCACTCGTTATGATTGGGAATGCACTGCCAAAGCTGAGGTTGAGGCAGATTCAACCGAGCCTTGTGAAGGTAACTGAATTAAGTACCTGCAAGAGATAATATTGTCAGAGCTACAGGGAAAAAGCAGAGAGTGGGACTGGGTCAATTGCTGTTTCAGAGAGAGAGTCAGCATGGGCATAGAGGACCATTGGTTCCCTTCTAGGGCTGCAACTAATGATTTTGTCTCCTTTCATTCGTTCATGGGATGTGGATGTGGGTGTCTAGGCCAGCACTTGTCTATTATAATTACCCTTGAGCCGAGTGGCTTGTTGGGCATTTCAGAGCATAGATTAAAAACCTGGCACATGGAAGCCAGAGCAGGTAAAGATGGCAGATTTACTTCCCTGGAGAACATTTGTGTATCAGATAGGTCTTTACAGCAACTGACAATGGTCATCATCACTGCAGTTGGCTTTATATTAATTTATTGGTTTTATTAATTAACTCTAAATTCCAGCTGCAGGTTGAGTCCAAAACAGCATTAGTTTGGGCCCGAGGATTGCTACTCCAGTGATACTACCGCTACATTGCTGTCTTCCCAAGTTAACCATATCCAGCCCTAATCTGGGATAAAGGCCCATTCCTGAAGCTACCTAGTGAGGTCTGCTGTAAAAGCACAGGAAAAAATGAAGTCCGGCTTAGCCAAGATACAAAAACTCTAATAAGAGCAGAGAAATGTTATGATGCTGGAAGAAGCTACGTGGCCCATTTTATGACCAATAATAAAACTAGCCACCACCTCATCTTTCAGTACCTGGAAGTCTGAAATCTTGCAGGCTACAGCATATGCAGGTCCAGGTGCTTGTTTCTGCTTCTGCCACCAAACCAGGCAGTGAAGTCTAGATTCTGAAGTGAAAATGATTTTTCTGCATATCCATTCTAATCATGATACTAATCACCTTAAACTTCTGGTAATGGACCTGTCTCCTACAGAAGAATCTTTTTCCTGCCTGCTCTATCTAGACACCTGACATTTTGGAGCAGGAGAATCACAGACACAGGGAATTAAATGGGTAAAACTGGAGCCCAAGTTGAGAGGTTTGGAGCATAAAGAGGAGTGTCTTACCTTGATTGCCTTTCGAGCAGCCTCACTGTTCCCTATGATAATAGTGCTGGGTCCACCCATGCTGCAGAAACTTTTCAAATGATGGGGTTCGGGAATGTGCACAATGGAGACTGTGAAATCCTAGACAGAAAAGACGGAACAATCCATTGACACAAACCTACCTTCTCCACACAAGAGTCGCATCCGTAACAATAACCCACAAGCCGAACTAAATCACTTTGATGTGGTTGCTTGGCTATATATTACTTTGAGGATTTTATCTCATCAAATATATGTGGATCAGTAAATGCAGATTCCTAGTTCAACACAGCCCCTAAAACCTACTTCCCCTCTGGACACAGAGGCTGGAGGACAATAACAAACTTCCCAAGTATTAATCCACCAAGGGAACATCACAAAATAAAGGGCACTATTTTATAGAGAGTGTGCAGGAGCACACACACCTGGCTGTATAAATGTTGAAGTCATTAAAGATGGAAGGACAAAGGAGATAGCAATCACGGTGTTCTGGGCTTCATTAATATGGGAGTAGAGTACAAGAGCTGGAAGGCTATATCGAAATTACTGGATATTGCTTAAACATCGACTGGAGTATTGTGTACATTTCCAGGTTTCACACTTGAGAAAGGACGTGAATACTTTGGGGAAGAATACAGAAGAGGTTTACTGCAATGGTTCCAGGGATGAGGCACGTCAGTAATGCAGAAAAATTGGAGAAGCCAAGAAAATGGTTGAAATGTCCATTGGAGAACATTTTGGCCGTAATGACCATAACTCACCAAGATTTAAAGTGGTCACAGAAAGAGACAAAGACGGGGAAAGAAATAAAAGTTTTGAAGTGGGGTTGGTGAGGGGAGCCAATTTTAAGACAATAAGGCAGGGTTTGTCAAAAGCAGACTAGATGTCTAGAGAAATTTACATTAAAACAGTGGGAGCCCAACATGTTGCTGTAAAAGTGGGACCTGAAATTCCAAAGAATAGTTTGGGATGTACAGGAATGAATAAGGATTGACAAAGGGAAGCTTATGAGGGCTCAGAACACCAGATGCCCTAGAGACATATGCATACTGAAAGGGGTCAGGAGTTAGGAAGTTAGGAAAGTAAGGATGGAGCATGAAAGGCACTGGCAGGTAATATAAAGGAAAACCAGGAGTATTTTAAAGCAATGTCTGGACCAGACATGAACCCAGCCCTTCTTGCCCAGAAGTAGGGACACTGCTGCTACACCATAACAGCCCCCATTTTATGAGCTTATTAGCAACAGGAAGAGTACAAAGTGGCAAGTAGGTGGAGCCATAAGGCAAAGGGGAGCTTTTAAATCAATACTTTACATCTGTATCCGCAAGAGAGAACACTGTTGGTATAGAAATCAGGGAAGAGGACTGCGATATAGCTGAAGAAAATTGGAGTGGGAGGAGGTATTAATGGTTTTAACAAGCTTAAAAATTAGAGATGTTTCCAGGCGCAGCTGAGATGCAGCTGATTCTGCTGTGGGAAGCAAGGGAGAAGATTGTAGGGACCCTGACATTAATTTTCAAATCCTCTCTGGATGCAGGAGAGGTGACAGAGGACTGGAAGATAGTTAACCTGGAACTAGTCTTCAAGAAGGATAGTGTAGATAAACCAGGGAACTGCTGGCCAGTGAGTCTAGCATCATTGAAAGTGAAATTATTAAAAAAAATGTTGAGGGGAAGAACTAGTCTTCACTTGAAGATGCGAGAATTAATCATGCTGTAAAACTGTGACTTTATGATTCTAACTTGGGACTATTTTCCCTAGAGAGGAGAAGGCCGAGAGGGGATCTGACAGAAGTTTTCAATTTCACGAGGATCTGGACAGAATAGGTAGAGATAAATGGTTTCTGCTTGTAAAAAGATTGAGACCCAGAGGTCACAGTTTGAGAGTGTTTTGCAAAAGAAGTAAACAAGATGCAATAAAAATATCTTTTTACAAACAGCAATGGCTTGGTTCTGGAAGATGTGCTGCTGGGAAGGGTGGTGGAGGCAGATTCAACTGAGGCATTCACAAGGGCATTGGATGATTATTTATGCCTTTATTGGACAGTGCATTGAATAGCAAAGTTGGGATGTCATGTTATGGCTGTACAGGACACTGTCTAGGCCACTTTTAGAATACCATGTTCCCCACTATAGGAAAGATGTTATGAAACTTGAAAGGGTTCAGAAAAGATTTACAATGATGTTGGTGGGGTTGGAGGGTTTGAGCTAGGGAGGGAGAGGCTGAAAACACTGGAGCTATTTTCCCTGGAGCATCAGAGGCTGAGGGATGACCTTGTAGAGGTTTATGAAAATCAAGAGAGGCATGGATAAGGTAAGTAGCCAAAGTCTTTTTCCTAGGGTAGGGGAGTCCAAGACTAGGGGACGTAGGTTTAAGGTGGTGAGGTGGTTAAGAGAGACCTAAGGGGCAAGTTTTTCACACAGAAGGTGATGCTCATATGAAATGAACTGCCAGAGAAGGTGGTTGGTGCTGGTAAAGTTGCATCTTCTAAAAAGGCATCTGGATGGGTATATGAATAGGAAGGGGTCAGAGGGATATGGGCCAAATGCTGGCAAATGGGAATAGACTAATTTAGGATATCTGGTTGGCGTGGACGAGTTGGACCAAAAGGTCTCAGTTTCTGTGCTGTACAGCTCAATGACTCTAAATGAAAACAAAGTGCAGGATTACGGGAACAGGCCAGCTGGGGATAAGCTAAAAATGCTCATTCAGCTAGTGCTAATACTATCGACTGAATGGGCCTTCTTCTGCACTGTTACAGTTGACTGCTTTTGTGGTTCAGTCAAATGAACTCATTTTTTTTAAAACCTTTATTTAAATCATTAAAACAGGCTACTTTTTGGAATGGGAGTTTGGTGGACAACGTCAGCTTTACGTCTGTACAATAAGCTGAAAGTTCACTTTTTTACACCTACTCTTCTACTAAACCAACAAATCTTTCACCGTTTAACCCGGGGCATTAACTACTCCCAGCCTTCAAGCTCAATTTAAGTTCCTCACCCCATATTTGCACATTACCCTCAAGAAAAGCACATTAAGATGGGACCAGGCTGCCACCTTCACATTGACATGCCTGCTCTTGACATTGGACCATCTCCGTGCAACAGCAAAGCATATCACCCCAACCCAACACCCCCAACTGCCCCCAAACAAAAGACCCACTTGACCAGAGGAGGGCAAGGTGGGGTGTCTCACCTTGAATGCCTCTGCCACATACTCCGCTCCTTTGTGATTGGTCCACTTGGAGATCCCAACAAAGAACTCGCGGCCTGGAACCAAGGAAAAGGAGAGGGAAGATCAGAAGTTGAATGCCAAGCAAATGTGGTGGCACAGAGGTAATGCCACTGGGTAAGAAATCCAAAAGGACCCCAGGCTAATGCTCTGGGGTTGCAGGTTCAAAACTGGTGTAAATTTAAATGCTATTTTTAACAAAAAAGTTAAAATTGTCATCGATTGTCATAGCAGCTATCTGGGTCACTAATGTCCTTTATTAAAAGCCAACTTTCTGTCCTTATCCATTGTAGACTGCATGTGACTCCAGACCCATGGCAATGTGTTTGACTCTTAACATCCCCCTCTGAAAGGGTTAAACAAGCCTCTCAGTTGTAGAGTAATGGAGTAATACAGCATGGAAACAGGCCCTTTGGCCCAAACTGGTCCATGCTGACCTATGGAGCCCGTTCAGCTAGTTCCAATTGCCTGAATTTGGTCCCTATCCCTCCAAACCCTTCTCATCCATGTACCTATCCAAATGTATTTTAAATGTTGCTATTGTACTTGCCTCAACCACTTTCTCCAGCAGCCCATTCCATATACTCACCCCTCTCGGTGCGAAGAAGTCACCCCTCAGGTCCTTCTTAAATCTATCCCCTCTCACCTTAAACCTGTGGCCTCTAGTTTTCAATTCACAATCCCTGGGAAAAAGACTACATGCATTAATCTTACTATGCTCCTCATGATTTTATACACCTCAATAAAGGTCACCCTCATTCTCCTACATTCCAAGGAACAACGTCCTATCCTGGCCAACCTCTCCCTATAACTCAGGCCTACTAATCCTGGCAACATCCTTGTAAATCTGCTTTGCACACTTTCCAGTTTAACTATGTCTTTCCTACAACAGGGTGACGAAAACTGTACACAGTCCTCCAAGTGTGACTTCACCAACGATTTATGCAATATAACATAATATCCCAACTCCTATACTCAATGCCTCGACCAATGAAGGCCAGCATGCTAATTGCCTTCTTCACCACCCTGTCCACCTATGATGCCACTTTCAACGAACTATGTACTTGTACTCCTAGGTCCCTCTGTTCCACAACACTCCTCAGGACCTTATCATTTACTGTACAAGTCATACCTTGGTTTGACTTTCCAAAATGCAACACCTCACACTTATCTGTATTGAATTGCATTTGCCAATCCTCAGCCCACTTCCCCATCTGATCAAGATCCTCTGTAATTTTTGATAATCTTCTTCACTATCAATGATATCTCCTAATTTTGTATCATTCACAAACTAACTAATCATGCCTTGTACATTCACATCCAGATCATTTATGCAAATAAGAAAAGGTCCCAGCACCGACCCCTGTGGCACACCACTAGTCACAGACCTCCAGTCCAAGAAACAACCTTCAACCATCACCCTCTGCTTCCTACCATTGAGCCAATTTTGAATCCAATTAGGTAGCTTTCCCTGGATCCTAACTTTCATGACTAGCCTGCCATGTGGGACCTTGTCAAAGGCCTTACTAAAATCCATATAGACAACATCCACCACCCTACCCTCATCCATCCTCTTGGTTACCTCTTTGAAAAACCCTGAAAGATTTGTCAGACATGACTTGCCACACACAAATCCATGCTGACTATCCCCACTCAGACCATGACTATCCAAATGTTGGTTGATCCTGTCTCTCAGTAATTCTCTCCAATAACTTGCTTAGCACTGATGTCAGGCTCACAGGCCTACAGTTCCCTGGCTTGAGTTTGCTACATTTCTTAAACAATGCAACAACATTAGCCATCTACCAGTCTTCCAGAACTTCACCAGTGACTACAGATGAGGCAAAAATCTATGCAAGGGCCTCTGCAATTTCTTCCCTCACCTCGCACAACATCTGAGGATGGACTTGATCAGACCCAGGGGATTTATTCACCTTAATGAGCTTTAAGGCTGCAAACACCTTCACTCTGGTCATGTGTATGCAATCCAAAACATCCCCACTTGTTTCCCTTATTTCCTTAGCATCCAGGATTCTTTTCTCAGTAAACACTGGAGGAGAAATATTCATTAAAAATCTCTCCCATCTCCTGTGGCTCCACACGTAGACGGCCATGCTTATCGTTAAGGGGTCCTATTCTCTCCCTAGCCACCGTTTTACTCTTAATATAGCTATAAAACCTCTTGGGATTACCTTTAATCTCATCTGCCAGATCAATCTCATACCTTATTTTTGCTCTTCTGATTTCCCTACAATGTGCTCCTACACCTTTTAATAGTTATCTAGGGATTCACTTGAGCCCGATAGCTTAAACTCAGTGTTTGCCGCCTTCTTTTCCTGACCAGACCCTCAATATCCCTCGTCAGCCAGAGATCTCTCGGGGCAATTAGGAATGGACAACGAATGCTGGCTTTTCCAGTGACATCCACATCCCATGAAAGTATCACTTTAAAAACAAATTATACAGCACAGAATTTAGAGCAGAAGCATGTGTTGCCAGAGTGGCAATAAAGCAGAAATGTTATTTTACCCAGTGAGATAAGATGACCTGCAAAATGCGATCTGAAAACAGGTTGAAATCTGATATAATAGTTATGTTCAAAATGCAATAAACGAAACAGACACAGTGTAGACAAATTGGTAAAAAGTTGTGGTGCGCAGCTCACTCTCAGAGAGGTGGCAAAGGATAAATGGGCTGAATGACCTCAGCTTTTTGCTGTATCATTCTATAACTGTCAATTAGGTGGGATGCAGCTTTGTCTAAAGGGGCAGCACAGTGGTTAGCACTGCTGCCTTACAGCACCATGGACCTGGGTTCAATTCCAGCCTCAGGCAACTGTTTGCACATTCTCCACACGTGCTCCGGTTTCCTCCCACAGTCCAAATGATGTGCAGGTTGGGTGGATTGGCCATGGGAAATTGCCCAGTGTCCCGGAATATACAGGCTAGGTAGATTAATCGTGGGAAATGTAAAGTTATAGGGGGTGGGTCTGAGTGGGATGCTGTTTGGAGGGTCGCTGTGAACTTTGGCCTGCTTCCACAGTGTAGGGATTCTATGATTAAACTCTGCCATTCTCTTCCCCTACAGCCTTGGCATAGACACACCAAGGCAGAGGGACAGCCACTAATTTCCAATCACCAGATCAATTGAAAAGTCTGAATAGATACAAATTGCTGTTATGATCTAACATCATCAACATCCTGGGGATTACCATTGACCAGCAAATGAACTGGACTTGTCAAATAAATACATTGGCTATAGAGGCCAGGAATTCTACATTAAGTATTTCACCACCCATCTCCCCAAAACCTGTCCACCATCTGTAAGGCTAAAGTCAGGAGCGTGTAGGAATTGGGACATCATGTTGAAGTTGTGCAGAACATTGGGGAGCCCTCTATTGGAGTACTGTTTCTAGTTATGGTCACCATGTTGTAGGAAGATTATTATTAAACTGGAGAGGGTTTAGAAGCAATTTACCAGGATGTTGCCGAGAATAGTGGGTTTGACTTATAAGGAGAGACTGGATAGGCCGGGGCTTTTTCCACTGGAGCATTGGAAGTTGAGGAGTGACCTTATAGAAATTTATAAGATAACGAGGGGTATAGATAAGATGAATGACAGATGTCTTTTGCCTAGAGTGGGGGATTTCAAGGCCAGGAGGCATATTTTTAGGTAAGATGAGAAAGATTTTAAAAAGACATGAGGGGCATTTTTTCTTTCACACAGAGAGTGGTTCGTGTGTGGCGTGAACTTCCAGAAGAAGTGGTGGATGCAGAAACAGTTACAATGTTTAAAAGACATAGGGATAAATACATGAATAAGAAATGTTTGGAGGGATATGGGCCAAGCACAGGCAGGTAGGACCAGTTTAGTTTGGGATTATGATCAGCATGGACTGGTTAAACTGAAGGGTCTGTTTCCATGCTGTACGAGTCTATGACTTGCTGGATGGGTGCAGTTCCAACAACACTCGGGATGCCTCAACACCGTCCAGGACAAAGCCTACCAACAAATTTTTACTCCCTTCACCAGTGCCATAGACCAGCTGCAGCATGTACATCTACAAGGTGCACTCTAGCAACTCCCTTATGTTCTTTTCACAGAACCTTCCAAAGGTATAGTTTCTACCTACTTGAAGGACAACAGAGCAGAGCAGCAGATACATGAGAGTAGCACCAGCTGCCAAGTTTCCTTACAAGCCATACACCATCCTGGCTTGAAAATACATTGCTGTTCCCTCATAGTTGCTGGGTTAAAATCATGCAACTCTTTCTCTATACACACCACCCAGTTTACTATGGTTCCAGAAGGCAGCTCACCACCAATTTCAGAGGTGGGCAACAAATGCTGACCTTGCCATTGATGTTCCCCCCATGAAATATTTGAGAGAACAATCATGCTGCCCATAACTTAGCAGCAAGGCTTGCACAAGACTTGGCAGAGCTACCAGATTGACACCCAATTTTGCCAACCAACAGGCGAAGAAAGCAAAACCACTTCAGGGAGATTACCTCTCATAGTGAAAACAGGCACGTGTCCTTAACTTCTCCTGACCCTTCACGCATGCATTCATGCTGTCAGCATTTCACACTAACCACTTCCTCATTTTAGACGGTGTGCAAAATAGAACCATTACAAAACAAAAATAGTCTTATCTTAATGTGTCACTTCCTGAGTGAGCAACAGATGGGAAAGGTGCAGAGACTGTGGGGGAGAAATGAAGTTCAAGAGGGGGAAGGTTTGCTGCCTGCAGGATCCAAATATAGAAAATCCAGTATAAAGCATCTTAAGTCTCAAATAGAACAAAACCTACTTTGTGACCAATGGGACCACCACAAGATAGACTTAATAATCTCAATCCACTGCTCCCTCACTTTGACAATTTCCAACAGAGCACAAGACAGTATGGAATATGCAGAAATGGCATACTGGGTCATCCGGAGATTGGGGCCAAAGTAGTATTAAACGAGCGGTGGACAAGAAGCTTTGTTCTGTACCTGCCCTGGGAAAGGTCACAGCAAGAAAGTGTTCAATTCCCCAGAGCGCACATCCTTTGCTGCACATTGGGAGGAAAACCACTAGGATGGAAAAGAACTGGACTACACTATAGTATACAGTCGGTTGCTAAGTACAATTATTTTGAACAAAGTTGGTCTTCAAATTGAAGCAGCAACTTCAGCTTTAAAATTGAATGAAGGAGATGCTGACATTTTCTTGTTTTGGCCCTCTGTAGATTAGCAAGATTGAGTTGAGGAGGGGAGCTTTCCCATCACTGTCCTATTATTATAGGGAAAAGGCAGGCAATTGTAGGTGCAAATTATTAGATCAGCCATCATCTCATTGAGTGGTAGAGCAGACTCAATGGGCTGTATCGCCTACTCTTCCTGCTACGTCTTATGGTATGAACGTGGCAGATGGAGCAAAGTCACATGCATCACTTCCAAGTGAATGCTTCTGTGAGGAAATGAAAGTATGGATGTGTTCAGCTCAGGGCATCACATTTTAGGAAGGATACGTGGAAGCCTGAGAGAGGGTGCAAACAAGTTCACAAGAATGGTTCCAAGGATGAGGAATTTCAGTTTTACAGACAGATTGGAAAAGCTGGGAGGCTGTCAGAGATATTCAAATTCATGAAAGGTCAGGTGAGTGGATCAAGAGAAAACTGTTCTGATTCATGGATGAAGTGAAAAACGAAAAAAGATATCAATTTAAAGCTGTGAGAACAGAAATGCTAGAGAAACTCAGCAGGTCTGGAAGCATTTGTGTAGAGAGAAACAGTGAATATTTTAAGTCCAATGACATTTTTTCTCCAGTATCAACAGTACAATGCTTATAAATAGTCAAGTCATAGCAATTGGTTCTTTTAAGGTAATGCAAGGGTAATCTTACTTATGAAGCAAGTGATTAGGATCTGGAATGCACTGCCCAGTTGTGTGGTGGAGGAAGTCTTTCAAAAGGAAATTGAATAATTACTGGAAGAAAATAAGATTTGCAAGCTTATAGGTAAAGCAGGGAATTGGGACTAGCAACTTTCACAAGCAAAGAATGCACACAGACACAATAGGCTGAGTAGCCTCCTTCTGTTTTTTAATTCACTTGTGGGATGTGGGCGTCATTGGCTGGCCAGCATTTGTTGCCCACCCCTAGTCGTCTTGAGAAGGTGGTGGTGAGCTGCATTCTTGAACTGCAGCAGTCCATGTGCTGTAGATAGACCCACAATGCCCTTCAGGAGAGGGTTTTCACCCAGCAACAGTGGAAGGTCAGCGATATATTTCCAAACCAGGATTGTGAGTGGCTTGAAGGGGAACTTGCAGGTGGTTGTGTTCCTGTGTATCTGCTGCCCTTGACCTTCGGGATGGAAGTGGTCATGGGGTTGGAAGGCACTGCCTAAGGTTCTTTGATGAACGTCTGCAGTGGATAGTACACACTGATACTGAGCATCAGTAGTGGAGGGAATATATTCTTGCGGATGTGATGCCAATCAAGCGGGTGGTTTGTCCTAGATAGTATTAAGCTTCTTGAATGTTGTTGGAGCTGCACCCATTCAAGCAAGTGGGGACTATTCCATCATAATCCTGACTTGTGCCTTGTAGATGTTGGACTGGCTTTGGGGAATCTGGAGGTGAGCTACATGCTGCAATACTCCCAGCTTTTGACCTGCTCTTGTAGTCACTCTGTTTATATGGCAAGTCCATTTGAGTTTCTGGTCAATGGTAACCCCCAGGATGTTGTTAGTGAAGGATTCAGTGATGGTAACACTATTGAATGTCAAGGGGTAGTGGTTAAGTTGTCTCTTATTGGAGATGGTTGTTGCCTGGCATTTGTGCGTCACAAATGTTACTTGCCTTTTGTCATCCCAAATCTGGATATTGTCCCAAGTCCTGTTGAAAATGGACTGCTGCAGTATCCGAGGAGACACGAATGGTGCTGAACATTGCGTAATCATCAGTGAACATCTCCACTTCTGGCCTTATAATGGTGGGAAGGTCACCTGATGAAGGAGCTGAAGATGGTTGGGCCTAGGACACTACCCTGAGAAACTCCTGAGGAGATGCCCTGAAGCTGAGATAACTGACATCCAACAATACTGGCAGCTGTGCTATAACCATTCTATGGATGAGCTTCATCCATTCCCTAGTCAGCTCACAGTCAAGGCATGGGTCAGGCACAGGAGAATGGGCAGGCAATGCCAGACAGCCACTGGAGTCTGGAAAACAAGTTCCAAATTTGAAGGAATGCCTCCAAAGCCATTGTTAATCCACCGTGGGTAACGTGACCACAAGTGTGTGGGTGAAAGCTCACACAACCGAGTTTCTGGCAATGATGCAGGAGTAATTGTCAGGAGGTGGTGGAAAAAAAAATATAATCAGTATTCACCTGTAAAGAAGACATCGCTGCCATCAAGTGTGGCTTTCTCGTCTGTCACCTCAAACACACGCAGCTTCAGCTCTGCCAGAACACTCTTCACCGTTGCCACCTGCGATACAAGAAGATTTCGATCAAATCGCTGCCTCATCCAAAAAAATCTACCCGAGTAGCACTGAACTACCCTCTCCCCAATCAGTATGCTGCTCCAGTTACTGAATGCACTCCCATCCAAAGACTGCCAGGATTGGATTACAAAAAAAAAGTCTCCATTTAGAATTGTTAACACAGCACAGAAATTGTCATTCTGTGCTAGTTCTCTGCAACAGCAAGATATAATGTTTCAATTTACAAAATTCTTACTAAGTGTGGATAGGATGTATTCCTTTGGCTGGGGACTCTGGTTTCTCCTAGCTCTAGGCTTAGGATAAAAGGGCAGGCAATTTAAGACAGCGAGGAGGAGGAAACTTTTCCACTTAGAAGGATCTGAATCTTTGGAATTCTTGAACTTAGAGGGCTGTGGAAGCTCATTCATTGAGAATGCTCAAGGCAAAAATCAATAGATCCTCTGGATATAAATAACATCAAGGGATATGGGGTTCGTGGGGGAAAATGACTTAGAAATAGGTAAATCGGGGGAGCAGACTCAATAGGGTGAATGGCCCACCCGTTGTTAAACACCATTTAAAAAAAGATGTTAAGCATTTCCCCAGGTAGCCACAATAATCCATAAAAACAAAAGGAGGCCAGGAACTTGTACCCAGTCTGTGTTGCACCACAACCAAGGATATGAAGAGGATATGAAGATAGGATATGAAGAGCCCTTTTTTTTCAAAGGAATGGATCCCATGGCCCAGCCAATTTTTGTCATAAACTGACATTAAAAGATAATGATCTAATCATGTCCTCAATGCTCTTTGTGGGATCTTGCTGTGGACAAATTGGATTCTGTATTTCTCCCATTACAATGGTGAAGAATTGCCACAAAATAACAATGAAAACAATTCACTGGCTGCAGAGCAGTTTGGAAATTCTTGAAATGGTAGAAGATGCCATAGAATTATCAGGGTGTGTTCAAGGTGTGCTCATTGACCACAAATTGAGCTTGCCCCCAGGCAAATAATGCAAAAAATGTAAATCAAGTCATAGGGTTGTACGGAGACAGACCCTTCAGTTCATGACATCCTAAATTAATCTAATCCCATTTGCCAGCATTTGGCCAATATCCCTTTAAACCATTCCTATTCATATACCCATCCAGACACCTTTTAAATGTTGTAATTGTACCAGCCTCCACCACTTCCTCTGGAGCTCATTGCATATACACACCACCCTCTGTGTGAAAACGTTGCACCTTAAGTCCCTGTTAAATCTTTCCCTCTCACCTTAAACCTATGCCCTCTAGTTTTGGACTCCCCTGCCATGGGAAAAAGACCTTGGCTATTCATCCTATCCATGCCCCTCATGATTTTATAAACCTCTATCAGGTCGGCCCTCAGCTTCTGACACTCAAGGGAAAATAGCCCCAGCCTATACAGCCTCTCCTTATCGCTGAAACTACCCCAACCCCAGCAACATCCTTGTAAATCTTTTCTGAATTCTCTCAGGGCTCCTATAGTAGGGGAACCAGAATTGAATGCAGTAATCCAAAAGTGGCCTAACCAATCTCTTCATCAATTTTCTTTGAGTTTTCCAAAGAAATGACAATCAAATTAATGAGACACAATTTCCCATGCACAAAGCCATGTTAACTATGCCTAATCAGTCTTTGCCTTTCCAAACACATGTAAATCCTGTTCCTCAGAATTCCCTTCAACAACTTATACACCACTGACATCAAGCTCACTAGTCTACGGTTTCCTGGCTTTTCCTTACCACCTTTCTTAAATAAAAGCACCACTTTAGCGACCCTCTAAGTGTTCTGGAATCTCAGCTGTGGCTATCGATGATATAAAGGGCCCAGCAATCACTTCCCTAGCTTCCTACAAAATTCTAGGGTACACCTAATCAGATCTCAGGGATTTATCCATATTTATGCATTTGAAGATAAATCAGCACTTCCTCTTCTGTAATAGGGACACTTTTCAAGATATCACTATTTATTTCTCCAAGTTCTCTAGATTCCATATTCTTCTGCACAGTAAAACACTGATGCAAAATATTGGTTTAGTATCTTACCCATCTCCTGCGGTTCCACAGACAGCCTTGTTGATCTTTAAGAGACCCTACTCTCTCCTGAGTTACCCTATTGTTCATAATGTACTTATTAGAATCTCTTTGGATTCTCCTTAAATCCATAGGCCAAAGCTATCTCATGTCCAATTTTTGCCCTCCTGATTTCCCTCTTAAATATACTCATACTGCATTTATATTCCTTGAGGGATCCACTCAATCTCTGCTGTCTACCTGACTTATGCTTCCTTCTTTTTCTTGACCAGAGCCTCAGTTTCTCTAGTCATCCAGCATTCCCTACACCTACTAACCTTGCCTGTCATACTAACAGGAACATACTGCCCCTGGACTCTTGCTTTCTCATTTTTGAAGACCTCCCACTTTCCAACCATGCCCTTGCCTGTGAATAGCCTCTCATCAACTTTCAAAAGTTCTTGCCTAATAACATCAAAATTGGCCTTACTCCAATTTAGACCTTTAACTTTTGGGTCCGGTCTATCCTTTTCCATAAATATTTTAAAACAAATAGGCTTATGATCACTGGCCCCAAAGTGCTCCCCACTGACACCTCAGTCACCAGCCCTGCCTTATTTCCCAACAGAAGGTCAAGTTTTTCTCCTTCTCTAGTAGGTACATCCACATTCTGAATAAGAAAATTTTCTTGTACACATTTAACAAATTCCTCTCCATTCAACCCTAACACTATAGCAGTCCCAGTCTATGCTTGGAAAGTTAAAATACCCTCCTACTACAACCCAATACTCTCTATCTTACAGTTTTAAAAAAAATTCATTCATGGGATACAGGCATCATGAGCTGGATCAGAATTTATTGCCCCTCCCTAATTGCCCAGAGGTCAGTTAAGAGTCAACCACATTGCTGTGGGTCTGGAGTCACATGTATGCCAGACCAGGTAAGGATAGCAGATTTCCCTCCCTAAAGGACATTAGTGAGCCAGATGGATTTTTTTCCTGACAATTGGCAATGGTTTCATGGTCATCATTAGACTCTTAACTCCAGATTATTATTGAATTCAAATTCCAACATCTGCCATTGCGGGATTCAAACCCAGGTCCCCAGAACATTACCTGGATCTCTGGATTAATAGTCTAGCGATAATACCACTAGGCCATCGCCTACCCTAGGTATCCTTACAAATTTGCTTTTCAATTTTCCGCTGACTATTGGGGGTATATAGTGCAATCCCAATGAGGTGATCATCCTTTCTTATTTCTCAGTTCCAACGAAATAACTTCACTGAATGTACTCTAAGGAATATCCTCCTTAAATACAGCTGTAATGTTATCCATAACCACTCCCCCTCCTCTTTTGGCCCCACCACACTTCTATCCTTCCAACAGCATCTATACCCTGGAACTTACCCCCTTCTCTGCCTCACTCTTGCCTGCCTTGACTATCTGACTTGCCCCTCTTCTCATCTATACCGGCCTCAGACTTATCTCTTTGGTCATTCCTCTCCCTCCACTTATTAGTTTAAAGCCTCCCAGTAGCACTAGCAAATCCCCACGAGGATATTGGTCCCCTTCCAATTCAAGTGCAACCCATCTTTCTTATACCCCAGAAGAGATTCCAATGATCCAAAAATGCGAATCCTTGCCACCTGCAGAAGCTCCTCAGCCACGCATTCCATCTGCTCTATCCTCCTATTCCTACCCTCACCAGCACATGGCACTGGGAGTAATCCAAATAATTGTTGCAGGAGTAAGCCATTCATCCCTCTTGGCTCCTGCACCATTCGGAGATAGTAAGAACTGCCGATGCTGGAGTTAGAGATAACACAGTATGGAGCTGGAGGAGCACAGCAGGCCAGGCAGCATCAGAGGAGCAGGAAAGTTGACGTTTCGGGTTGGGATCCTTCTTCTGAAATGGGCTGTGCCTGAGGAGCAGCAGAGGTTGTCGTGGTCAGGGCCAAATTGGGATGGCCTGAATGCGGTTTGGAGTCCATTTGGGATGATTCAGTTCCGTAGGCAGGTACTGAGAAAGGCAATGTGGCTGTACTACCTGGTTTACATTTCTAAAGAAGGGTCCTGACCTGAAACCTCAACTTTCCTGCTCCTCTGATGCTGCTTGGCCTGCTGTGCTCCTCCAGCTCCACATTGTGTTATATCTGCTGCACCATTCAATAGTTTTTTTTTAAATCATTTAGGGATATGTGGGAATTGCTGGCTGGGCTAGAGTTTGCTCCCCATTCCTAGTTGACCTTGAGAAAGTGGTGGTTAGCTGCCTTCTTGAACCATTGCGCTCCATTTGGTGCTAGCATACCCATATTGGCAAGAGAGGGAGTTCCACTTTCTAGCTAATCTGATCACATCATCAACTCCATTTTCTGCCTGTCCCCAGAATCCTCAATTCCACTGTTAAATCAAAAATCTGTCTAACTCAGCCTGGAATATATTCAATCATCCAGCCTCAACTCTCGTGAAGTGAATTCCCAAGATTAACCATCCTGAGAAAAGAAACTCCTGATTATCTGAAATTGAAGGTCTATTATTGTCAAACTGAGCCCCCTAATTTTACATTCCCTCACAAGAGGAAATATCCTCTCAGTATCCAACCTGTCAAGCTCCTCAGAATCCTGGGTTCAGGGAAATTGGTGACATAGTAATAATGTCAGTAGATCAGTAATCCAGAAACTCAGGATAAAGTTTAGGGACATCGTTTCAAATTGCACTGTGGCAGATGGTCATACTTAAATTCAATTTCTAAAAGAATTCTGGAATGAATAGTTATCTAATGGCAACGACATAGACATTATCAGTTGTTGTAAAAATGCATCTGGTTCACAAATGTCTTTTAGGGAAGGAAATCTATCATCCCGACAGTCTGGTCTACATGTAATATAAAAGCCAAATACTGGAAATATGAAATAAAAACCGAAAGTGCTGGACAAACTCAGCAGGTCTGGCAACCTCTGGAGAG